CTAATGTCAGCATTGGCTGGGAAGCACTCAGTAATCATCCCTCTTTCAGTAATATAATAAAATATAGAATACCCAAATCCAGCAACTTCAACTTGGGCAGATGCTTCTAGTCAGAGTAGAATATAGAGCAGTGAAACTGGGCAGCAGTAAAAATGACAACATGAAACTCTCAGTGGAAGGAGATCTAAAATCCAGAAGCTTGGATATAAACTATTCATGTTGTCTTCTGCAATTGAAAGTGGGAGAGTTATTTAGTCTTTAAGCTCTCAGGTGGGGAGTGATGAGTGAGGAAGCAATCACAACCTGAGATCAAAGCTGTGCTCGCAGCATGAGCCTTTGAATAAGAACAGAGCCATTTTACACTTCCCAGAACCTACATGCGTTATCTACTTATCAGGGTAGTTCTCCTTGCTCACATAGGTGGAATGATGTAGCATGGAAGACATATATTGTTTTTTTTGTTTCCGACTAATGAGTTACATGTTTTGATTAACCAATGCCTGGAAAGATTTTCAAACACTGATCTGTTTCCAACTTCTAAATTTTCTTCTTTGTCGTACTTCCTTGCTCCCTGATATATTAATTTCAATGAATTTTATGCAATGATTATTATTATATCTTTTTTTGGCTACATTATCACCTTCTACTGTCTTCATATGCTTAAGATCATCTTAAAAGCTGTTTTAAAATGCCTGTTCTAAATATTAAGTGTACTTGTTTAACTTAATGTTTAACTTAAAGCTATTAACATTAAACTGGCTGTTAAACAGACTTACAATACTAGCATGAAATGTAATTGTTTTCTGAAACTTGCACTTGCAGTCTAGCTTAAAACATGAATTTATATCAGATTAGCTAAATCATTCAGAGATGATCCCCAATATACTATAAAACCAGAGATTGTTGAAATTTGAGTTAAGTTTAAACAAAAATGTTCATAGAAATATTAAAGCCTTACAAGGAATTTTGGTAGATTCCTCATTGGGGAATAAAGTGGACTAAGTGGAAACAGTGCATTTTGCATTCAGTATGAATGAAAGTGCTTTGAACCTGTGCAGGTTATTTGAAGGTACCTATATCTAGAGGGAAAAGATGTTTTTCTGCTACTTTGGTAAGTCAATACAAAAGAGTTCTTTGATCATTTGAAGCTTTGATTATTTTTTTAACTGTACTGCCTCAAGGGTCAGTACTGGGACCGGTATTATTTAATATATTCATCAGCGATTTAGATGAGGGAATTGAGTGTACTATCAGCAAGTTTGCTGATGACGCTAAGCTGGGAGGAGTGGCTGACACGCCAGAAGGCTGTGCTGCCATCCAGCGAGACCTGGACAGGCTGGAGAGTTGGGCAGGGAATAACTTGATGAAATACAACAAGGGAAAGTGTAGAGTCCTGCATCTGGGCAGGAACAACCCCAGGTTCCAGTATAGGTTGGGGAACGACCTGTTAGAGAGCAGTGTAGGGGAGAGGGACCTGGGGGTCCTAGTGGACGACAGGATGACCATGAGCCAACACTGTGCCCTTGTGGCTAAGAAGGCCAATGGCATCCTGGGGTGTATTAGAAGGGCGGTGGTTAGTAGGTCGAGAGAGGTCCTCCTTCCCCTCTACTCTGCCCTGGTGAGACCCCATCTGGAATATTGTGTCCAGTTCTGGGCCCCTCAGTTCAAGAAGGACAGGGACCTGCTGGAGAGAGTCCAGCGCAGGGCAACAAAGATGATTAAGGGAGTGGAGCATCTCCCTTATGAGGAAAGACTGAGGGAGCTGGGTCTCTACAGTTTAGAGAAGAGGAGACTGAGGGGTGACCTTATTAGTGTATATAAATATATAAAGGGGGAGTGTCACAAGGATGGAGCCAGGCTCTACTCAGTGGCAAACAATGATAGGACAAGGGGTAATGGGTACAAACTGGAACACAAGAGGTTCCACTTAAACTTGAGAAGAAACTTCTCAGTGAGGGTGACGGAACACTGGAACAGGCTGCCCAGGGAGGTTGTGGAGTCTCCTTCCCTGGAGACATTCAAAACCCGCCTGGACACATTCCTGTGTAACATTATCTAGGTGTTCCTGCTCCGGCAGGGGGATTGGACTAGATGATCTTTCGAGGTCCCTTCCAATCTCTAGCATACTGTGATACTGATTTGGGTTGTTCATCAGCTGTAATTACTTGCCTTCAGCATTGGTTTGCCAGGATAATGTGTTCATAATGTGTTCTTAGTAGATTTTTATTTTTCATTAAATGCTTTGCTGGATTCTTCCTTACTTTAGTTATATGGGATAGGTAGCAGTACCTATTGCTGTAGTTAGCAGATCAGTTTCCACTGTAACCTCCTGTGTAACCTTATAAAACGTTCATCGTTTACATTAAATTTTTCCAGGCTTGGAAGCCAGGCTTTGCTTGCCTTAATCTAGCAAGCATTCTTCTGCTTTTCCAGTGGCTAGCTGCTCATTAGCTTGTAATATGAAAATTGATGTATTTGAGAGAAGCCCTTAGTTTTTCGTGTCATATTTATTACATTGTTATTTCAGCTTCAAAAGTTGGCATTTTTTCTATTCAAAGCATAGTACTGATGAATGTCCAAAGACTTTCTATTTTAAATATTTAGCTTATGAAGATGAGGAACACAAGCAAGTTAATCACTGCATATCCTACTGACAAATTTGTTTATGGGAATTTAGGCAACAATGTGATATATACATTTATCTAAGAAGTGTGCTGGCTTACTTGGATTCTCTTCTGTCTGTAGATTGGGCAGGTCTTTCAAGACTGTTGTTATAAATTGCTAGCACTTAACACTATTCTTTTCCAAAGTATTTTACAAATATGAACTAAACAATACACCATTAATATGTGTCAGTTGGTGTTGTAATTGTGGTTTACACCTGGGGACACTGAGGTAGAAAAGTACTTTAACACAGGCCACCCGAGATTTAGAATGCATATCTCTTATCCATTAGTCCTGTGCTGAAATCATAGGATTACATCATTGCCATATTCCCTCACATAGGATCTATCGATAGCCCAGTGAAACCAGTGGGGAAAAATGCCAGATTATGTCAGCCAGTTTCATGTCTGGGTTATACTTAACATGTTAAGGTTTGCATCGGCTGCAGCCAGCTTGGATACAGCAAGAAGCATAACTGTGGCCCTCGCTTGCTTTATGGGGAAATTGTTATCAAATGTAGATTTATTCTTCTTATTTTATGATTTAATTCTGCATAAAAAGTCACTTGGCTAAAGTGTGCAAGTGAGACCACTGCTGCAATAGGCTTTATAGAAATGTCATGATGACGTGAACATGAATTGCTCTTATGCAGGCCTGATGAAAAAAATCCTCTTTCAAATCTTGTTCAGTCTTGCATGCTAAAATACGACCTTTTACCCTAGTCTAGACATGTCCTTTGCAAGATATTTCTAGTTTGTATGAAGATTGCTTGATTTGAAACAAGTATGTTCATCTAATGCTGTCAGGAATGATGGGGTTTACAGCCTGAGAAGCTGACAGCTTCTTTTGCAGAACAGAGTAAGTAAAAGCAACGGAAGATTCTCTGGACCTGTATTTCGAATGACATGTCATCTGTTTTTTATGAGATGAGTTGTGAGCTTCAGAAAGTGAATTTACTGCAAGAGAGAAACTGCAAAAGGTCCTGCCTTCCTTTTCCACCACAAACTGCTTAAACTATGTGGATTACTTTTGAACTCTCTAGTTATCTGGCACTGAGATTACACACCTATATTTGGTACAGTTCTAGCCAACAGTCTGGAAAGTGGTTGATGGAAACTGCTAGCTTTCATGTAAAATTACAATGTATATGTCAAAATACAACAAACAATTTAATGAAACCCTGTTTATTGAATGCAGTCATTGGGAAATGTCCAGCAGAAACTTGTACATTTCAGCCTAGTTTTCTTTCCTGAAAGGTTGCAATCTTTTGGAAGGTAATTTTCATCTGCTTGCTTTTTCCACTCTCTCCCATCACAGCTGGACTCAATAGTCTTCATTCAGAAGATAATTGCTTATTTTACCCAGTATGCAAACCAATTAGCTTCCCAGGCTAAAGTTACAGTGTAGTAGGAACAATGATGTAAGAGTCTGTGCAGTACCTTTACTACTTATCTGGGATGCTTTAGATGTACAGTGTAATAAGAGAGTGTCAACCAGCATGTTCAGCATGTCTAGCACATATCAGGTGTGTATGATTACTGAACATGCATAGATCAGTTACACAAAAGCCATTTGTCTAATAAGGGCCCAGATGTCAGCCCAGCTGGAGGTACTGATGCCTAATCTGACACAATTAGCTCCTCTATAGCTCAAAATGAGCCCTTCTTCCTCTCGCAGTATGACTTTTGCTCTCCACCAGTTGTGAATAGTGTGCAGAATGATACAGACCACTGCCTGGTGTTCGGTCCAGCCATTCCCTGCTCCCTTCTGATCTCTTCTTTGCGGTAATATCTTCCTGCAGGATCTGAAAGTAATTCACTGTTGTGGTTTCATTGGCTACCCTACTTTGAGGAGGCTGGACTAGATGAGCTTTTAAGATGTCTTCCAGGCTGAGTTATTCTATGGTTTTGTCTTTGTATTTTCCTGTGCGAATGCCTACACTGTATTTAACCAAAACCCTGTTACCTGCAGCAGCCAGCAACTGTCCGGTGAAGAGTATAACGAAAAAGAAAGTGTAGCTTAATGTTGCTTTCCAGTGAAGTTTTCACAGTGTCTTTCAGCAGTGATGGTTGATAAGCCAGAGATGGTATCTTTGTTTAATAGAGGATTCTGCTATTTGAAGCATCTGGGTTGGTTTTGGACCCCTTTAAGCATCTGGCATTTGTCAGAGACCTCTGCAGCAAAATATGCACCCAGAAATCCTGTGCCTGGAAACACAGCCCCCCCACCCCCAAAAAATTCAAGTCTAATCTCTGTAGTTATATGCATAGAGGCTTGCTTAAATTTTGACTTGTGTTTGCAGTAGCTGTAATGTGACCTTTCTGAATCTCTTACAGACGAGAGCAGAGCAGTCCCAAGGTGCATACTTCTTGCCTGAGTTTGCACTTTCTCCACAGGGGAGTTTTCTTGAGGATACCACGGGGGAACAATTCCTCACGTACCGTTATGATGACCAGGTCAGTATGCCACATGTGAAAATGATAAATTCTCACATTCGTGTAACCCTGAGGTATACATTACTGGGAAACAAACTAAGGTACAAAGTGTGTATTGTCTTTTGAAGGCACATCAAATTCATAGCAAATTGAATAACACACTACATGAGATGAAAATCAAGGCACTTATTTGTAGAAAACTACTTATACTAATAGGATGTAGGGGAACAGCAATGTTTAGTGATGTGTTAATAGATGTTTATAGTTAGTTCTGTAAAATGTGTAGGACTTAGAGGTGGCTGTCCTTTCTGTGAATTGTTCGAGCTATCCTAAATTGTATTATTTCATAGATAAATCAGTATGAGGCAGATCTTGCATTTCCCAGCCTGTGAAAAATCAGCATGTTTTAGTAGTTCATGAAGTTTTCTGAGGGGAAGGTTGAGTGAATCATAAAGAAACAAATGCAAAGTGTAATAATGGATGAAGCAGAGTGTTTAGACAGCAACAAATTATGTAAAGTTAAAGATCTTTAATGCTTTCTCCAGACCCATTATGTTAAACGTGGAATATAGATACAAATGTAAAGAAAGCAACATGAAAGAAATGCTGTTAATCTTGGCAAAAGATCTAAAGTAAACCTAGGAAATGTGTGGCATGCTGTGGAAATTTACTCATAACACAATGTGTTCCAGAAGTCAGTTGAACTTCACATCAAAACAGTCTGAATTACATTCATAGACACTTACAGTACATTTCTTAAGAGGAGAGAATTTGTTAGGAAACATTCCCTGTAAAAATGAGAGAGGAGACAAACTTGCCCTGCAGTCGCAAGGTATGCAAGTCAAGTGATTGGCAGCTTTATTTTGAAAGATGGTCTCCTTTCAGGAGAAATGCAGTTTGCTCACCACTAACCTGAAGTGAGAAGAGAGATGAGTTTATTAAAGCTTTTAGCTGAGTCTTTTTTTTAGGAAGACAAAAGGAAGCAGAAAAAATCAAATACAAAGCATGCTGAGCTACTGTAATTTGTGTGAACTGATTTGAAATATACATACAATACTTCATGCTTTTGCTACCCTATAGGATTTTGATTATCAACAGAAAAGGTACTTATCTAAGATGTCTCCTGGACCAAACACCTGGGAAGGCAATAACTTACAGGACAATAAAATGCAGGTGCAACTCAGGCTGTATTTAATGACAGTAGTTGAAAAACACTATAAAGGTTATACAGTTTGATCAATACAGTTTCCACTAAATTGAGCACATTTTAGAGAAGATGATAAATCCAAACAGCGGATAGTCTAAGTCTTTGAATACACTGTTTGGAATATGTGAATGACAGCTGATTAAAAACCAAAATTAATCCCCCTCTCCAAACCCCCTCAGATACCAGCACTGGCCTATACAGAAGCCAAGCTTAATTCATTTGATGGAAAGTTTTCCATTAATTCCACTGGGATCTGAGTTGGATCAGGGATATGGTCAGCTTCTGTTCTTTCACAAATATAGTTCAGCTTTGAAGCCCGCTCTGTTTAGCGAACAATATAGAATTAAATTTGAATTCTTGAGACTGAAAGTGGTGCTAAAACATCAGATTGTTGAAAATAAAAGCAACTGTATCAGCAGCAGTTTCTTTTGAAGGGAAGTTCTGTCCTTAAGCATTATTTATTAAAAATCTAAACACCTTGAATGCAGACGGGAACTGTTCTGTATCTCCAGTTTACCTTCCAATGAGTAAACCAACAATTCTTTGGTAACTATAAAGACTATTCTCCTTGACATTCTAGGACATTAATCATAAGTTTGTAATAATGTACAGTTATAATTTACTTATGCTTTTGCTGAAATGTTCATACAAAACTAACTTCTATCATGTGGTCAAACCAAGCTTTGAAATGTTGTTTGTTTTCTTGTTGTCTGTGTTTCATTCTACTCTTTCATATGACATTTACTGTATGAATGGAAGGAAGTCTTAAACCAGAGCGTTCAATTCTCTTTCTATCCTGCACACTGTGAGTGGGTGTTGGCCTGGGGGAAATACATTCCTTTCTTTTTCCTGAACACCGGAATTGTTCTGTGGACATACCTAACAGAGTCCTGGTGTTCCTGTACATCCCAAGATCCATTCATTTGTTTGAAAATTGGAGAAGTGAAATAACCTTGTGCACTTGATGCCAACAAAGCAAGAGAAGTCGTGTCTGATCCACCGTGAAAATCACCCTCCCTTTGTATTCCTGGAAGGGAGCAGAACAGATTAAGGGATGAGAGCTTCCTAAGACTTTGGCATGGGGTGGGAGAAGAGGGTGGGTCACAACCTCTGTTCTTTTGGCTAACCAACAAGATGTTGAGAACCTTGCAGGAAAAGTGTTCCTTTCTTATGTTTCCCCCTTGCACTATTCCTCATATCCAGGTCAATAAAATTTCCAATTTGTTGGGATAGATGGATATTATTTTTATATATCATCATCATCGTCATGATCCAAGATTAGTTCCTTTACGTCCTCCAAACACAGGAATGTTTCAAAGGGGTTTTCTTTGGCTGTTGTGTGTGATATTTTTCAAGCGGGGAGCCAGTTTAATCAGGATCATTCATTCCTTTGTTAGTAAGTAATCTCAGTAAAATAGAACTAGCTGTTACTTAAATATTCAAAAGTATTTGCTATCTGAAAAGACAAGCTTACAGTTTGAAATGGAAGATGAGTAAATATTAATGGGAACACACTGTGCTCTGTCTTAGCCCAGCGAAATTACATATGGATTCATGTTGTACATGCAAGATAGTACATTTTGTTCTGGTTTAGTCTGGCAGGGCTGTGCTTTCATTTTTGTACAGTATTGCACTAACCCCTTTGCATATTCAGTTGCGATGTGTGTACTTTAGAATTACATGCAGATGATTTTTTTTGGCTAGATATTTTCAAAATTCAATGAATGTCTTCCCCCCCCCCCCCCCCCCCCCCCTTTTTGATGGTAGAAGAAAATACCTCACAAGACCTGATTAAGTACTGTCATCTCTATTCATTGACGTGACATCTGGATAGGATGTTACATTACAGCTTTGACACATTTACTACTTTATCTTCAGGGAAAAACTGTGATTCAAAGCAAATACTTTTGAGGGCTCCCAAAAACCAGAAACACAGAAATGTTTGCACTGCGCATTTTCTTATAGCTCCTCCATTGTTCAGCAAGCTATGTCTTGCATCAGCGCATTGAGTACTGCATTGCTAAAATTCTGCTGTGTCAATGTAATTTAAATCTAACTCAGTACCAAAGAGATTTTGATGCATAGCCAAAGAAATTGCCATTAGAAATCTGAGACTGAAAAAAATATGCCCCTCTCCTATCATTTTTGAATGAGTTTTAAAATAAATATATAAGTAGTAGCCTGTCCCTCGACTTTGACATAGAAGTTGAACCTTGCCATAAGGAATAGTTTCCTGGTTTTCCTTCTGATTTCTTTTGGCTTTTCACCTTTTAATCTACTGTGAGGAATTTTTTCTTTTCCAGAATACTAGTAGTACTGGAAAGCTTTCTTAAAGAAATAGAATGTTCTTGTTTTCTGACACTTAAGGTATTGCTTCCAAGTATTAAAACCATTCCATATGATGGACCACCAACAAGGACAGCACTGAAAACTTGGTTGAACTGAATATGCTTGAAGTAGCTTTCCACTTTGATAGGCTGAAAGCAACAGCTCTTGGGGGGTGGAAGGAAAGAAAAAATGCAAAGTGAGAAAGTGTTTGCTTGACCAATTGGCTTTTTAGATGACCTTGCTCCTTCTAAATGTTATGATGTTTACCATTTTAAACTCATAGCAAGGACCCCTGATTCAGGAATGAGGCATATGGCACGATGTAGTCTAATCTTGAGGAAGAAATATAGTTTTATTTAAAAAAACAAAAGCAGTCAGAGAGTGGCAAATATGGACTTCTTGAAACCACCTAGTAAGTAATCAAAATAATGAAAATCTAGACTTTCAGACTCGAGTGTTTAGTTACACCAGGTAAGGTAGAAACCAGTGAGTTGGTTTTCAATTAGTTGTGCAATTTGTAATGCACAGGCTGAGGCTATTACAATTCTTTTAATAAGTAAGCTTTCTTTGGCATCAAGTGGATGCCAAACTGGGAGAGTAAATATCCATGATCTGGATGACTTATAAAATTAACGTAAAATTAAACCAATGGAACCTATTATTCCACCTTTGTATTTGTAGTCAGCCAGCAGTAAATATTTGTGTTTGTTGTGTAAGTACATATAAAGCAAATTATTACATAGGCACAAGCTGTCTTCTGGATCCAGCTGATCTGACAGCCTTTTTTTCTGCTTATTTCTCACCTGCTTTCCCCACTGCACTTGCTGAAGATTGCCATCCTCCCTGGTCTGCCTTTGGAACTATATGTGACTCGCAGCCTGCTTTTGAGTATCAGCTGCTTGCTGGCTTCTGCTCCTAGTCGGAGCCTTTTTATTCCATTGCCAGCTAGTTTGCATTTAAATCACCAGTGAAATGGAGCTAGAAATTTTTGGGCTTGGAGACGAGTCATGCAAGGGACAAGCTTATTTCAAATTAACACATTAGTGAAGACAAGCTCTAATCCTGAGGAGGGAGTAAGATTTGTACTTAACGACACACTTGCTACCCAAATACATAAAGCTCCAGCACTCCCCTTGTGAGAAGGAGCCAGAAACTTGTGTTGTGCTGTGACATGATGTTTTTGTAGATGCCCTGAAGAAGAATTCAGAACTATTAAAAAGGCTCAACATTTTGAATCTCAATGTCTAACTCTTCTTTTAAAGATTCTCTTTGGAATGAAACAAGCTGTTCTCAAGCGGGCATAAGTTATTTCAGGTGTTTTTCTACAATGCGAACCTTTCCCCAGCAAACACTCCTGGTGGTATCGTTTGTCTGTTCTGAGAGTGAGCTGATTGATAGACTTAATTACATCTAAGCACCAGAGGTGCAACTGTTAAGACTTGGCTACCTGAGTTTCAGCATTATGTTAGAAATATTCCCCTTCAGC